GACATTTGGATATACAGTTGTTACCATTAAACATAAATACACAGATTCATTCGTCCCTCAAAATGTATTGTAGAAAAATTAAGTATAAAAGCAGTAACAGAACAGAGGAGAAAAACTGTGAACTTTGTAGCTTCTCTATGAGCTCTGCTTACCTCCTGGGTGACACCTCTTTCAGGCTGGAGAATCGCATTCATCTCCAGACTTCTTTTGACTTTGAGGCAGCAGGAGTATTAACATCACTTAATGTTTGTGCTCCCAGAATCTGATCCAATCTTGGCAGAGGAATAAAAAGCTTGATTTGGGGTTAATTTAGCATGTGTTCAGAATCACCCATTTCAGCAGATCTTTTAAAAATCAGAGCAGACATGCTCTAAAGTAGGAAAGCAATGGGCTCAAAAAGCAATGACAACAAGGATGCAGTTTTGTCCTTTTCACACAAAATAAGTAGGATATCACTAGCTTGCTTACTTCTCACTCAAGTGACTTCATATAAGTGTTTGATATCATCAGTGGTCATCACCATTGCTGGCTCTTCACTTCTCACACTTTCTTTCTCTAAGCATATTTTAAAATTATCTAGGTCCCTTTTGTCAGCAAAGAATTGGGAAACAAGAATTATTTTTTGTCCTTCTGCTGATAACAGGCCATTCTAAAATCTACATAAAGCCTATTTCAGCAACATACAAGTGCCTCACAAAGTAAAAGTTTCCAGAGTATAGACCTTAGTCAAACAGCCTAATATCCTTCACGATGACTTTACGGATACAGAGGCCCTAAAGTACTGTTGTTTCATCAGCTTAAGTTTCCCCTTGAGAGAAACCTGAGACTCCCAAGAGATCCTGTGTTTAATTCCATTGTAGTAAATTCCCTTTCATTTCACTAGCAAGGAAGACAGGAAAGCAACAGCTCCCTTTGACTGAGACTGTTCCATTCCCTTCTGCTCTATACACAGCCATTTTCCAGACAATGGTCTGAAAAGCCCAAAGAAGCTCTTTTTTGAGGAAAAAAAAAAAAACAAAACAAACAAAAACACTGAGCAAAAAACCTGATCATAGCTATGTTTGCAATCCTGAGTTACCTTTTGAGTATGCATATGCAGGTGAGGCAGTAGAAAAAGCAAGAAGCATCTCCTCAGCACGGGCTGCCAAGTCAAGAGAATGAGCTGCAACAAAAAGCAGACTCTGTTACCTTTTCTACCCCAGCTTAAAGTTTCTCACAACCACCTGTTGCAATATCACCACTCCTCCATACTGTCCCTTCCATGTTAGTATGCCACATCTTTAACTATGTACCGCAGAAACCTTTATCTCCCTCCAGTTTCTATACTGCCACTGCCTTGCGCAGGGATAGCCTTCATCCTGACTGCTTAGACCACCAAGAGCACATGTCCTTTGACTGGCCACCTGGCTGCTACCTGTCACTTCCAAGTGATCCAAAATAGATGGCTTAGGGCCTGTGGTTGGCATCAGTGGCATAGGCTGTTCTGTAGGGGAGAATAGGATCTTCTAAGAAAAGAAGTTTAAACTCCATCATTTATGACCCTCTGCCTCACATTAGCTGATTGCGGTGAGTAATAATTCCTAAAGTTCCTTTACTGCCTTCTACTAACACATATTAACACCATGTCAAGGCCAAAGTAATGGCTTGTTTCCAAAAAGCATAATATAGCCAGACACTGCAAGAGGATACGTGCTTTCTGCTAACGCATCTACCTGATTAAAGAAGTACAGAGTGGCATTGTTTCTTTTTCCTCCTCACATATTTCCATGCACTACAGCATGTATGAATGGATTGTCCTTGAGACAAGCGTGCTGTTTATCTAAAGAGGAAAGCCTTGAGTCAGGAGTTCAGGGCACTTGACATATCATAAAATTAGCCTTCAGCAGAGTTATGAAAAGCCGTGTTTAATGCTAGATTTATATTTACATGCTGAAAGACAACTTGTTTCCCTGCTGTAACTAATTTAAAAACTCATGCATGCCATTGTCATGGGTGTTAAGTTAGATGTGAATGCTGATATGTATTAATCATCAGTTAACCACCAACAAAACTGATGTTCCTGAGGGGAACACTTTAGCAATCACATGGGATTGCACAGCTTTAGAAAAGACAAAGGGTGCAGTCTATGGGGCCCAAACACAGCTACATACTCACCTGAGGATGTGCCATAGACATGCTCATTCGCCAGCCCAGTAGTCAACAGCCTCTATTAGTCTCACATGAAACAAAAGCTAGAGTAACTCAGTATCGTGTTTTACTCTTCCTGCCATCATCACTTTTAGCCCAGTTTCTTTTACTGACAATGTGGTTTTGCCAGAAGGCTACTTCCAGTTCTTCTGCTCTTTAATAGTGAATGCAGGCTGAGATTTAGGATCCTCTTGTTTGTAGCTCTGCCAACATAAGCTGAGGACAGGATAGCAAGAGATGGGCTTGTGCACGGGGTCCTGCTATGATATCGTTGCTGCTTGGTGCAGGGGACAGACAATTCTACTGCACTTCTGTGTTGTTCAGGAATCAGAGGGATGATCATATTATACAGTTTTTAGATCACAAGACAAAAAATTGATATGACCTACTTTTAGGAAGACATATTCTAATAACATGAAATATAAGGATCAAAATATGAAAGGTGGGGCAGGCAGACACTTAAGGGCAGGGTAAGAATAAGCCAGAGTAGTGAAATCCTTTAAATTCCACAGTCTAGCAAAAGCTTATCACGTGATTAGTTTTTACTTCAGTGGGAGCAATAATGAAACTGTGTTGCTTAAACGCCTTCCAAATAGAAACTGATCTAAGCTTAAACACTTAGTACATATAAACAAGTACTTAAATGTTAGTTGAATCATAGATGCTATTCTTTATTTCTTCAGAAAAGAAATTATGTAATGAAACACAAAATAAATACATGAGCCTGCTGAGGCTGGTATCCCTACCAAATTCTGACTTGGGTAAGTACATATTTCCTCTCTTCTGCCTTCAGCAAATCTTTGCAGCCTTCATGTATTTGTGGAGTATTGCATATTTAGGCTGTTCGCTCTCATCCTGGAGGTAGCTACCTTGTCATGGCAGATGAAATGACCAGTAGGCACAAGCTGATTCTTCAAAACCTAGTGAATAGCTGACCCAGCCAATTATACATGCTGCAAAATCAGTATCAGCAGCAGTCCATATGCGTTGCTTTGCATTTAGGTGCCTTAAAAATGGAGACATGGTGCATTTCTCATCAGTGACCTGTTTATGTCCTGGGGAGTGAGATTTAAGTGAAAAGTTTAAAAAAACCTCTAAGCCCACAATAACAATCTGGAGAATCACAGCCTTGACTGAAGTTATTTAACCCCTCACCCCTCAACAAATCAATAGATACTGAAAAAAACTAAGGACAGGCCATGTTAGAAGTAGGTTAAATAAGCAACAGAACAGAGTTATCCACTAGACAGAAATTATGATAATACTTAATATCTCCTAAGCATTCTGATATTGGATGGGCCTATATCAGCAGGCTTATAAAGGATAATGTGCAATTGGAGTGTGGATAATCACTGCCTCTTCATGTCTAAGAGTAGAAGAAAATGTTCTCAAAAATCAAAGGTGGACAAAATACATGTGTGTATTTTGGCCTGGAAACAGACCAGGTAAATACCTTATATTCTGCCTCCTTTAAACCTCAAAGTGGAATTTTAGTAGTGTTTGGACCTCACACTGTATTTTTGCACCCAGAGGGTATTTTCAGTTTAAGTTCCTACTTGGTTTGACTTTCAGTTATGTTTTTTGGTGGGGACGGGTGGCATGTAAGGAGAAGCTCTGGGTTAAAGCATTGAAATCTGCTGTAGGTGACACTCTTCTGACGACATTGCAATAGATCTTGGGTGTAAAGGATTTCCTCTGTGAAATCTACACCAATTGAAGGCTAAAAGGTCTTCCTAAGGACATTAAATCAAAGTAGGACCAACCCATAACCCATTTCCAAAATGGTGCTGAACATCCACTTCTCTATATTTCTGTAAAAGTCATTCTGGGTGTTAGCATCTTGGCAGAACTACAGGACTTTCAAATGCTACATTGTCATGGGTTATATTTAGTGAAGTGGTAAATAAAATTGCCCTTTATATGTAATTCTGTTTATATATCTGAGTGCTGCTTTTCCATTTCTTTCTTTTTTTTTTATTTGGTGGTTTTCTTTGTATTTTTTCTTCATGTTTTGTTTTAGCTTCTGAGTTTTAAGACCCCCCTCAGTGATGTGGCATTTTGATCCCACTGAAGTCATAATAACTCTGGGTGCAATTTATTATTGCAACAAGTTTTCAGTCTGTTTCCAATTGTTTAACGTAGAGAAAAATTGTTTCCAGTAAAGCACATGAACTAATGGAGTAGTTTGCTGGATTGTGGCTGGCTTTGGTCTATACTGGATTCATCTGGTTGTTTTGTTACTGTTTACTTCATATTTTTATTACTTTGTGCTGAGATGCGTTGCAGCCAGCAGCTTATACGTGGATTAAATAAATAAGGGAAAAGATGATAGCACCCTGAGAAATTAGCAGATCTGCACTTTGAGAAGGGGATGGCACTTTCCACCTACTGTACCTAAGTGGAGGACTTTTTACTCACACTCTCCCGCCTACTGGAGGATGCCATCATTGTTCCTATTTTGCTGACTGTGACCAACAGCAGTCCCCTGCTTCTCCAGCAGCTCCAGATAACTGTTTTGATGTATTGCTGGATGGACTGGATTTGCACTGCCCTGCAGTCCCGCTGATACAAAAATGCCCTTAAGATCCTGCCTTTCCCATCCTAATCTACAAAGGAAACAGGAAAAAGGAACTTAAACTCCCTGTACTCAGACAGCAATGAGACTGTTCCAGCCTGCTCCAGTGCTGCGATTTCTTGCCTGTGACTTGTAAACAGCATACCATGCAGGAGAAGAGTAACCAGTAAACGTCTGCCCCGAGAAAAGGATACTCCATGAGCGACTGTAAGAACTGGATGGATATATTTCAGAAAGCATGGACCCTTTAGCACATCTAGTTCTCTATGGATTCAGCCTGATCATTTCAGGTAAGCCTTTGCTTTAATATCTGTAGTTGACCTGTCACGCCTTTCTTGTTTCTCATGCGATGTGCAGACAAAACGCATGACTCCCTACTCCAGCACTTATCTTTATTGATTTAAGTACTTGTGTTTGCTTCAGCGAGACCACGTACCTCTGTGCAGTGCTCTCACAGCGAGCGAGGGCAGGACTATGGCCAAGCTATTGGGGAGGATTTAGCTACAGCGGTAGAATCCACTGCTGCCTCCTTGTTGAAGTCATTTGTTGACACATACACACATTGCGACAGGGTTTTTCCTCTGTCTAATGGTATTAGCTTTTTCGTAAAGCTTATTACTTTGAAACCATTGATGTCTTTCCCCAAGAATATCTGCTTTAAATATAGATTAAATATTGACTTTTTCTGTGACTGACTTTATGAACTGGCTGTGTGATAGGAAAAGTTGACATTTCTAGGTATTCCAGTATCTGATTTTAGACAAGTTTTCAGACAAGATTCCACAACTGGAATCTAGATGAAAGTCAGTGGACAAAAAGGGCAGAAAAATGCACATTATATAAGATCAATTAATAACACTTCAAATGCAGCTAAAGAATGATTCATTATTATCAGCAATTGCAATTAGTTCAGCAAGTCAGAAGTTAGTCATAAGAGACATCTGCAGAAAGGTACACAGTAAGATTGTACTAATGCAAATTTATTTTATAGTATTTGGAGCATTAGTGTTAGAGATGCCTTGCTGAAGCTATCACAAGCAGAGCCCTGAGGAAGCCTGCACTCTTCCCACCGGCTTCTTAGTTGCTCGGCATTTGAGTATCTCTTTCACCATCCATATTTTGATTTTCTAGACAGTTTCATCTGGGTAACATACCAAGCAAAACCTGTAAAAGAGAAATACAACTCACACAATAACCTTAGACTTTTAACTCACTCCTAACCATTTCATTGAGATATGCATAAGTTGTTCCAGTCCATCTCACAGTAAAAAGGTAATGTGCTGTAAAACTGCAGATTGTGCTGCAATGAAAACCAGAAAGTAGCAAGAAAAGGCAGAAGTCCTCATTGCCATGTAACTTGCTTTACAATTTCCAGATCTTCTTGATTAGCAGCATGTTAATAGCTAAGTGAAATTACAAACAAATGCATTTGAGATGTTGCTTTTGGCATCTATAAAAGGCTAGAGATTAATACAGGCAAAAATTGTGTTTAAAATCTGTTGAATGCATGTTTGGAAGTATTCTTATCTAGCTATTGCTGTAATAGGCTGCATTTTGTTTACCAATTCCTCTTTTGTGGCTTAAGTTTCTTGATTGTTTAGCAGCACATTGATCCAATCTATTTAGCCCTCAGATCACTTCCAGCTTTTCACTTTAAGGAGGTATCTGGTACTGTAAGCATTATGGATGGAGCAGAAAAGAAAGTCCAGTTACCCCAACTCTTTTTCCTTGTCCTTCCTGTTATATTATGTGGTAATATATACCTAACTGACACAGAAAGCAAGCAGCGTTCCTTAAGTCACAAGTACTGGAGAAACAAAAGTCGGCTGCAGAGATTAGCTATAAAACATGGACAGTGCAGACAGCTCAGTACTGAAGAGGTGCCAGTCATTGCCTTTTCCACTGGGGCAGACCAGTGAGGTGTGTGCTGTAGTCACACCCATCTCAATAGATCTGTCAGCTTTCCCGCTTTTGTTTGAGAATGATATCATGTTTCCTGGGGCGAGTGGTGGAAGACAATGCATGCCCGCTTTCCTCTAGATACTGCAGGCGGAGTCCAGGAAAGCAGGACTGACATTCCCTGAGCAGGGGAGGCTTTACACTCAGCACAGACAGTGAACTGGCTTAACCTTTTCCCTGATGATCGTAGGCTTCTCTGGGTGTGTTGCTGGGTAGGCACAAAATCCACTCCACCCTTTTCCAAGGTGAAGACCATCCGCTTGGCTCCCATTACAAGAAACAGCCTTTGATTTAATTTTTTGTGTTTTTTTGTCGTTTTGTTTTGTTTTGTTTTGTTTTTATAACAGTACTCCATTCACAGCTAAAACTAAAGATCTGATTTGGAAGGTAATGTTAAAAATATACGCAAATGCTCTACTTTTGCACTGTATAAACGGTCACTGCTTGCCATAGCAAATGTTCACTTAAACTGACAAGGTGTTGAATTTAATCCTGCTGGGATTTGTGAAACTAAACTGAGCATCACCACATGTTTTTCTTCTGGTGGATTCTGCTCCAGTCAACATTTTGTAAAATCAAAATGATCCTGGCATCCATCCTGAAGTATGGATTCAAACTCCAAGATTGTGGCTAGGTACAATCTGTTAAGTCTCGACCAAAGAAGAGCTGCAGACTCACCTATTCCCTCAGAAGACTGAGGAGAAAGCAAGGAATGAGTGTCGGAGCTTGCCTTTTGCCTCTTAACATCCTCAAATGGTCTGGAAATTTGCTTGCAGCTTCTCACAGTGGGCTAACTCTCAGAAATGTTCATGTGTGGGCCTTATTTTAGCAAGAAGGGCACTGTCAGTAATAGATTTGTGGAAACCAGCAACAGTTAAAATCAGTTTCAAGAACATTTCTTTGACTGTTTCTGGCAGGAGACAAATGCATTGTCAAAGGTCTCCGTTCTCCAAGACAGACAGAATCTTCTATGCTATAGCTTTTCTCTACCAATAATCTTAGATCTAGCGGGTTTCTAAAAATACTGGATTTTTTTTGTGTGTGTGTGATTTAGCTGTTGGACCCATATATGGTAAAAGACTCAAAAAGTTATATTAGCCTTTTAAGTGGAACTAACAGTGCAGAGGCATTCAGTGGTAGCTCTCTGTCATCCCTGTTGATGGCTGCGTTTTCTTTGGGATCAGTAGATGTTATAAAAAAAGACATAAATCATATCTATAATCATTATTATGTGACTCATTTACATATTTAGAAAGTTAAGCAGCTTTTAACATACATTACCATACACACAAGCACCATTATGATGCTGTAGGCTCTTCAAAATTACAAGAAATCATAATTTTTAGTTAGACTGGAAAGTTCTAATAATTCTCTTTCAAGACTTGGTTTTGCCTTGTGAAGATTAACTTAACCTAGAGAAAACCTGTATTAACCTCTGTTAACACATGCCTGTGACAGTGAACATGGATGTCATTCTTCCCATAATTAAAGGGACGAGGCCTCTGTGAGTATCTTCAAATATGCTGTTGTCAGACCAAAACGGCACCTGAACTTCGAACAGTCTGTCCTACGGCTGCAGTGCTGAGGGTTTGAGCCTCCCACAGCCAAAGCAGTGGACACATCACATTTGAGCTTTTGATCTCAGGTATTTCAAAACTATGCTGACTAGACATTAGACTGACCACAACCTTTCAGACCTCTAAATTATCAAACTACTAATGTGAATTGCAAGAGAAATTTAAAAAGGGATTTCAGTCCTTGTTCCTGAAATGTATTTGATTTGTGAGACCCAGAAGTTGCATCTGCCTTCCACACTTAGGTTATTTACCCAGAGTATCCTGATGCCTTTTTCATGGGTCTGAAATTTACACAGAATTTAGACTCTTCTTGAGATGCAGCCTTCCTCTAATCCAGAAATGATGGGACTGCCACAGAAATCACTGGTTGAATCTCTGACCTGGTGAATGTTGGTATTTCTGCACAGTTCTGTTAGGCCGATAATGACTACAAAATCAATGGATTTGTTTTATGGGAGAAAGAGAGCTGTTCTGTTTTAGTTACACTGCTGGCTACATCTTTACAAAGAAAAAAGTTCCAGCTGTGAAAGCTGGAAGCCAAAAACAACAGCTTCAGCATGTGCAGGCAGCTCTGTGCACCTACCGTAAGTGTAATTAGAAAAGTGGGCTGATTCTCTCCAGTTCTTTTATTTTTTAGCTTTAGAGTTTGCTTTTGGTGTGTTCCTTGTTCAGACCTAGTGAGAGGTAGAGTAGCTCTCAGGAAGCCTGTGTTCCCAAAGGCCATTTCAGCAGCTGGGAACAGTCAGCAGTGAAAAGGCATTGCATCAGACCCAGAGGAATCAAATCTAAAACTGTGAAATGAAATCACACTACATTCACAAGTGTTAACATACGCTATTGTTTTAGATACAGATTTCATATATATATATACATATATATATATGTATGCATATATTACATTGTTCGAGCATTTAGTCATAATTAAGCTGGTTGGATGGATTACTTTTTCGCTGAAATTCCATTTCAGGGAAAAAAATGAAGTTGTAACATTTTGCAGAGATGGTCTGACACCCACAAGAATTTCATCTGGAAGGCTTTAGGTGGACAAGAGGGAGCATAGAAGTCAGAGAGACTGATTGCAGCTGAGCAGCTGGCTTTAGGGCAGGGGAGATGTGGAGCTGGTTCTTCATGAGAATTTCCTGGCTTGGAAACCTGCTCTGCATTGGTCATGTAGACTTGAGCCTGCTTGGCCCAGACCTGTCTCTTACACACACAAAAACCCTGTTCAGCTTTCCATGGAAGATCAAGAAGTCATTGTGGTGTGGAGGTTGTTGGGTAGGCACAGAAGAAATGAACGAAAAATGGATGCACCTACCACTTGTGTGAGATAGATGTACAGTTCCATGGTCAGCTCCCAATGTGATGCAAGATCTATGTGGGACTGGAGGGATGAAAAGCTTAGAGAAATTGTAATAAAGAACTGTCCTCCAAAGACAAGATCTACCCTGTGCTAGTGGCAAGGTTGTATTTAGGATGTTGTTCAACTGCGGTTCCAGTGGAGACACATAGCAAAGAACCAGATGGTGTCTGAACTGGAGACTTTCCTGTAAGGAGTTTAAAATGCTGATTGTTTTTTAGGGTACAGATTTGA